TTTGTGATTCTTCTTTGACTCACTAGTTATGTAAGACTGTTTTATGTATTGTGGACTTCCCAAATTTCTTTATATTAACCAGTTCAAATATTCCATTATAAACACATAAGATAGTTCATGTAATTTGAATTATTTTGTATTCACTGAGGCTTATGTTGTGAACAACATATAGTTTATGCTGAAGAATTTCAATGAATATTTGGAAAGAATATGTATTCTGCTGTTGAATAAACTATTCAACAATAATGTGTTACATGTTAAATGTGTGCTAGGTTTACTTGGTTTAAGTTTTCTGTTTCTTACTGACCTAGCTAAAAAGATTATTGAAGCTGAAGTATCTACATTTCCAGGTATTACTGTAGCACTGTAGCACTGTCCTCCCGTTGCTCATCGATTTCCTTGAGCAGGCACCAGTAACGTCTCCATTGTGAGACTTGTTGTTACTGTTTTTTGGCATATCAAATATGCCACGGGGAGCTTGCCGGGACCTGCCATTGCAGGCGGGATAATCTCAGTAGCTTGCCGGCCTCTCTGAGAGGGACCCAGGTATTACTAAATTAGTGTTATTATTTTTCTGCCTTCAATTCTGCCATTTTTTTCTTTTTCTGCCAGCAATATATTTTAGAATACTATTTGTAATGTTTGTTTTTAATTGTTATAAAATTTTCAAGGAATTGACCCTTTAATCATTCTAAAACATACTCTTTTAGAATGGAGAAAGGAATTAGACAATACCCAATGGAAATAAATCTTGAGACATGATCAATAGAATTGATCACGGAAACAATGAGCAGTGCAGTAACAAAGGACTGTGAAAGGGTTAGGGCCGAAGTGATAGTACAGTTGGTAGAAGGTTTGTTTGCCTTTCACATGGCCAACCTGCGTTCAATTCCAGCATCCCATATGGTTCCCAAGCTCTGTCAGGAGTAACCCTTGAGAATCGCTGGGAGTTAACCAAAAGCCAAAACAAAAGAAAGGACTGTGGGATAACGGTGGAGGGATCTTGAAACAGTGGTGGAGGAATTGGTGTAGCAATTTTGTAAATATAATTAACAACCTCAAAAGAAAAGATAATAAAAAATGCCCTCTTTAACCCTACTAAGTTTTTATTTTAAAGTCTGTATTTTCCCGATATTAGTTTAACTATTCTAGCTTTCTTATTGTTTCTGTGGGAATATCTTTTTAATATTTTTCAGTATATATGTAACAAATTCAACTATTACAATGACTATTATAATTATGAAATTATTGATTTCTAACGTCTTTGCAAGTTGAGAAAATGTTTCATAATTATTTCATAATTTATGCTAACATTTGAATTAATCTCTTCACTGGTTCTTGTAGACCATATATTTTACAATCTGGTGTAATTTCTTAATTCAACAAAGCTTTGCTTTTATAGACTTCTTTAGTTGTTACTGTCAATGATGCTATTGTAATATAATTATATTATTCTATATGGTTGATTTTTAGGTAATTTTTTAAAGTACAATGTATTTCAGAATGTTACCAGTGGTCCATATTTTTATGTCATAATGTTACCAGTGGTCCCTATTTTTCTGGTAATTCAAATTACTGTGCAGGGTGACCTAATATCAGTCTAAAGAACTTCCACAAATTCATAGGAGGTAGATTTACTTGCAACAGATTTTCTCAGTTTTAAATTTTTAAGGAAGATTTCTTTCATATTTTTGAAATATTGTTCTTTCAAAAATTTAACACTCTTTTCTGAAATTTCTTTTATTCATTTTTGGTTTTGTTTTTGTTTTGTTTGGGGGCCATACCCAAATTGGTTAGGACTTTCTCCTAACTTTGCACTCAGGGATCACTGCTGGCAGTGACCATAAATTATGGGAGACCATAAATGATCCCAGGATCAAACTGGTTCAGATGAGAACAAAGCAAGCACCTTAACCTCTGTACTATCTATCCAGCCTTGAGAATTTTTTTAAAGTCCTTTGAATTTATTACTTCATAGCCTTTTGTTCTCAATTTTCTTCTGAAGGGAGGTTAGTCATAATTCTACCTGGGTTCCATTATATGATATAAGTCATTTTTCTCATATTGCTTAAATCTCTTTGTTTTGGATGCTTAACATATTTACTATGTTTCTGAATATACAGGACTGTTTATACAAACCCAGAAGTCATTAGAGATCACTGATATTCTTAGATACACATCTAAGATTAAGATTAATGTTTATAAATTAAATTTTTATGTTTTCTGTCATTATTTTTTGCACATATTTTCTACTTTTTACTCTCCTGGTGTTTTTATACTTCTGTTGGTACTTTAAACTGTACTTAATACTTCTCTAGGGTACTGTCTATTTTCTTTATAAATTTTCCTTATTCTTCATGCTGCATGATATATGTTCCTTCTGTCTGCCAGTACTCGTTCATCTGCCAGCTCATTTTTTGAGCCTTTCTAGCAATTTTTATTTTACCTACTATAGTTTTCAATTATATAATATTCATCTAGTTCATTTTTATCTCTTAAGGCATACTCTCTATTTGATAAAATAGTTTCACCATACTCCTTTACTTCCTTAAGCATTGGTATCCTTTAGATCACTGGACATTTTTATTTATTTATTTATTTATTTATTCTTTGGGTCACACCTGGCGATGCACAGGGGTTACTCCTGGCTCTGCACTCAGGAATTACCCCTGGCGGTGCTCAGGGGACCATATGGGATATTGGGAATCGAACCCAGGTCGGCCGCGTGCAAGACAAACGCCCTAACTGCTGTGCTAATTGTCCTAACTCCAGCCCTGCATTGGACATTTTTAAAGTAATGGCTTTGAAGTCTTTATTTCCTAAATTCAACATATAATTTCTTTTTCAGAGAGTTTTTGTTAGCTGCTTTTTTTCTTGTGTTGGCTCAGAAAATCTTTTTCAGTAAAACATAATTTCCCCATAGTAAGCAGGCTCTGGTACTGTTGTTCTTCAAATGGTATACTTGGGCATATACACTTAGAAAGACTGTATTTTTACTTTTATCAACTATCTCTTTCCCTGCTCTTTGTGGTGTCTGCCTCCCTTAGTATCATACCCAGTTATTAATTTTCATTAACAGCCAGTTGACATTATTATTTTATAAAATGTACAAATTTCTCCACAATCCCATCCATTTAAGCTCATGTCCCATTTTAGATGGACTTTGAGACCAGTTCTAGACTTTTTCTAATTCCTTTAGAACTCTTTTTTATCTCTTTCCTTGATTCTTTGCTAAAACTCCTTGCTTATCTATAGGTCAGTCTGTTGCTGTTACTGAGCTGTGAGCCTTCTTGTAACTTCTTAGAATCAAATTCTCCATTGTTTTCAAGGGCACAGTGTTCCTTGAGCCTGACTCTGTTCCAAATAAAATCAGTCCTTTGGGGAAGAGCCATGGAGCTTTCTATTCTCTAGCCTCTCACCCAGACAAACATTTCTTTCTTTTTGGTTTTTGGGTCACACACACCAAAAAAATTCTTGGGGCTTACTCCTGGCCCTGTGCTCAGTGATGACGCCAAACAATGCTCAGGGAACCTATGCAGTGCTGGGGATAGAACCAAGGGTTGGCCATGCAAGGCAAGGGCCTTAACCCTGCATTATCTCTCTGGACGCAGGCAAACATTTCTGTGACAATATTCTAGAGTAGATTGTAGATATTTCTCTTTGACATTCTCAAACATCTGGGAATGTTTGGCTTGGGTGGTTGCCTCTTGTCTTTTTATCTTGCTCCTCTCAGTTTGAAACCTCTACAGTATTAATAAGGCAGGCCAGGTGCAATTGGAAAATTCATTTTTGAAGGGTGGAAAAAGGTGAGTAACCAGTTTATACTTCAATGATGTTTCTCAGCACTGGAGTGAGGTGCTTTCCATGGATGGAGAAGTGTTTATCACCAAGTATTTACGAATACAAAAAGTGGTGTATTCTGGGAAATTCCCAAACCTAATAATCTTAGTATTAAGGTTTACTCTAATTCAGAAAAGAAAAAAATTTGAATTATCAGAAATATGGTAACAATAGCACATTTACTTACTTAGTAAGAGCTGGCAATGTTCCTATTTGGTTTACAAACTAGTGTAATCATATTCATCGTTTTCCCCAATTTAGGAAAATAAAATGGAGTTATTTCTTACTTTCCTTTTTCAGATAAAATATTCAAAGGTAGAATAAAACTATCTGGAAAAGGTTCATTATGTAAAAATCAACATATGAATTCTGACTCCCTAGTCCCCTTAGTATTATTTATTCTGGGGGGGTCTCCCAAGTGGTGCTCAGGAGGCTCAAAGGGACCATTTCTGTGAATCTTGTCAAGCCTGGATTTTGGTTCAATGTGAGTAGTTGAAGATGCAGTACTATTAGGCCCTGAGCTGCTGGGAATAATCCATACCACTTTGCTTGTGCTAGGGGACACCAAGGCCACACCCAGGGGCTCCGTGGTACACATCCTCCTCCAAGTATTTGGACATGGTCGAAGGACATGTAGTACTGGGGATCAAGCCAGAGTTGGCTGCACTTAAGTCTTTAACCGCTGTACCTGGCCTTTAATATAATTTAGATGCCTGTAGATATACCTTGTTTATAATATAGTCATAAAGCATAGTATATAGTAGATAATTAAATTTATGTTACTATAAATTACAGAATTTTCAGTTCACAGTATGAAAACAAGCAATAAGCCCTCCCTTATTTTCCATCTCACATTTTCTAAGAATAAATAAAAGATAAAAAAACACCCATTCGAAGAAAATCTATACTGGCTCTCCTAGCTCTCAATTTTAAAAAGTATTACTAATACTGCACTTTTTTCTCAATGTACAAGAATATTAACTAAACTTTAAAGTTTTTTTCTCATAGAAAATTTTCAAAAGATTATGCTCTCATTGTGCATCTCTGAGCAGTGTAAATATGTATGTTATTGTTAGGTGAACACCTTGGTGAAGCCACATCTGCTGGATGGAGTGCTGCACACTTTTGTGGCTTACTAAAACTTCTGTCCTTGTACTGACCTGAGGCAGTCATTTGCGCTAAGAAGAGCAGGTATAAGGAAGTAGCATCCAACTGCAAGTGTCCCCACTGGTCATCACCCACTACTGTGGCACAAGTTTTGGTGTTATACTTGGCATGAAGGCTATCCTTGGTACTCTGACTATACTTGAAGGATTCTACTTTATCCACCTGAAGAAAACAAAAACAGTAAAAGGATATGCAGAAAAATTAATCCACATGTCATATTTTCACAGTACTCTAACATATATCAATGTATTTATTTTCAGGTAATTGTGAACATGTTACATCTTGCCCTATACTAATACAAGTAAAAAGATGACCATTGCTGCTTTTTCCTTTAAGCAATTTAATTAAGTAATAGTATCAGTTAAGTCAGGTATTTCCTGTGCAGTATTCTCACTCTTGTTTTGTTTTAAAAACTTGTTTTGCCACATTAAGATTCAGAGTGATATAATGAAAAAAGCTTTGTAAGAGAAAAATGAGTTGTGGAAAATACATATTTGTTCATGAAACAAAGATAGGAATTTGGAGGACATTAGAACAAGAGGTCATATTTTCAAAGAGCAATGAAAAGGATTGGGGAAAGATGCATTGAGTGAAAAAAATAAACTGAAATAAACATGCAAACAGAAGGCAGAAAAGAAATATACAAAGGATAAAATGTACTTGATTATGTGTACAATTGATATATAATGGTAACTATTAAATCTTTATTTTATGTGTAGGGGGGTCGTGAGGGCCATGCCCACAAATTCTTGGACAATTGGAGATGTGAGGGCAGGAGGCTGAAGTGCTATTGGACTCTGTAGTATGTAACCAGGTCACCACAGAAGTAATAAGGGGACTCCAGGTATTACTCAGGTAAAACCATTAAATATTGTTATTGAGTTTACTGATTTTAAGCATTTTGTAAGGCAGACAATGCAAATGTAAAAATTATTTTCAAAAGAAAAGAGGGGTGAGGTAATTATTTTCAAAAGCAAAGAGGGGTGAGGTAATTAATCTATGACATGCCAGAAGTTAGTCTAGTAGCGTGATTAAAAAAAAGTTCAGGTGTCAGAAAAATTAAGTTTAGAAGTCTGAAGTTGGTTCCTTTCTACCTTGGATTTGTGCCTGTGAATGATCACTGTGAATGTGCCTGTGAATGTGCCTGTGAATGATGACACTAGTAACTGGGGTCTCAATACCTACTAATAAAATATAACCTTGATCTCAAGAAACCAGTATCTATTCAATGTGCTCAACGGGTACTGAGATCTCCTAAATTAAAACTTTATTTAGTAAAATACTTTCAAATGGGTAAAAATAAATGAATCCCAAATTATAAGCTATAATTTGCAGTGTTATGTTACGAAGAATTAATATACATAATGTAAAGGAAGTCTTATTATAAGCAAGAGACAATGCCCCTTCACCACCAATATCAAATAGGAAATGGGCAATTCACAAAGAAGGAACTTTAAATCTACGCATGATAGGATACTCAACCTTTCCTAAATTACAGGTCAGAAAAATGCAAATTAATGTAAGGAAAAGACTCCTGGTCTTTTCTCTCCAATCATAAATCTAAAACACTTTTGAAAAGATTTTTTTCCCATGTTTTACACCAAAATTCATTTGGTGATATCACATGATTCAAAGTGATTTGGGACTATTTGTAGTCTTATTTATTCTGCTTAATTGAAAATGCATGTTTTCATATGTAAGTGTTAATGTTTTGATGATAAAGTGCTATTTTGGCCCAATCCAGGGCACAGCATAATATACAGTATATGTATTGTATGAACTTTTAAGTTCTAAAAAGTCTAATATTCTTTTGTATCAAGGGTTTTACAGAATGGCTTATATTACAGCATTGCCTTTTATACAATATACATAATTGCATGTACAGTAATAATGAATGTTATTTTTAATTCTTTGTAGGTATTAACTATTTGCGTTTGTTAGAGGGAGCTCTTAACCACACCATACCTGTCTGATCATGCAGTACAGCAGTCCCCTCATCAGCTTCACTACACTCTGCAGAAATAAATGCAAACATGACTGTTATAAACATCCCTTGATGCAGGAACACTTACTCAGCAACTGCAGCTGGTACATGACCTTTTGAGAACCAGTAACCCTATCCTGGGTCCCTATTTATATGGCATTTACTTTATATGTACACAGAAGAACGGATTACAACTAAAAGTGTAATCAAAAGCTACAGTTTATGACTGCTTAGAGTAAAAAAATATTTAATCTAAACTCCCAACAGGTCTATGGATGAACAACCCAGTCCTACTATTAGAGGACATTCTACTTTGAGAAAGGGGCAAATCAGCTCAAAAACACAGTTTGAGGCTATTCTGAAAGACCTATGGCCTAGGAAGCCAATATCATCACTTTTATTTTTCTTAAATCAGTAGTTTCAACTTCAAGAATCTATAGAAACTTTAATCTGGACATTTTCTAAAGAATAAGGTGAACTTCAACTTAGAATAAGAATAAAAAGAAGTTATTGGTGCAACTCAAAACTCTGTTCACAAAAAAAGCACGACATTTTTAAAATCTCAGTTTATTACGATTTGTCCTGGAAATTTCAAAGTAGCTTTTTTTCAATCCTAGCACATCAACTAGACAGCTGATATAAAAAGATTTAGCTATAATATAATTTCATTATAATACTATACAGTAATTATAGTTATACTATGCTTAGTAAGTATATTAATAATATAAATATCACATAGTATGGTAATAATATACTCTATTAATTATATTACATTACATTAGAAGGGGCCATTAACAGTGATATATATAGGCAACATATTTTGGAAGAACACAGCCAGCACCAAACGACTTCTTCATTTTTCTAAGCTTTTTGTTTTCACATTACAAAAGAAATCCAGCCAGCTTACTTAGGTATTGCTGGTTCAGCGGTAGTCTCAGGACACCTCTGAAAAAAATTAATCTACTTGTGAGCCTCATCATCTGTTAATCCTTCAAAAGTAGTCTCAGGACACCTTTGAAAAAAATTAATCTACTTGTGAGCCTCATCATCTGTTAATCCTTCAAAATAAAAAGTGTTTTCTTAGATTTTCTTTCCTTAAATAATTGTTGTCTATAAACAGAAACTCGTCCTACAGATGAAGGGGAGAAATGGAAAGGGGATAACAAGGAAGGGTAGGAGATTAGAAGAGAAGAGGGGATAGGGGAGAACATGCAGTACATGATATTATCACCTTTTAAATCATGAATTATTTATCATGAAGTAATATAAATTCAAGAAACCTACAAGAAAAGCTCTTTAATTTGGTTCCAATGAAAGCAACTATATTTTAACTATTAAATTCTAAAAAGTCTAATATTCTTTTGTACCAACTATATTTCAGAGTATCATTACAGAAAGCATTTAACTTACTCCACTCTGTAGGAAGACTATTGAATTGACTTCTGTTCTACCATATTCATAGGTTTCTGTCACATCCTCTCAACTCTACCATTTGGCTTTACTATCCCATCTAAATTTTCTTTAACTTAAACAGCAAAACTTGGAGATCCAAAGGTTTTTGATTACTGCCCACTTTGGCTCCCCTGAAATGGCCACTCTTAGACTTTTTTTTTATTAGCTAAACACCATGAGGTACAGTTATAGACTTACAAATTTTTGTGCTTGGGTTTCAGTTATACAATGATCTCTTCTCAGACGTTTTTAAAGTATCTTAATTAGGGTCTTGAGCGATAGCACAGTGGGTAGGGCATTTGCTTTGTATGTGGCCAACCCGGGTTCCAGTCCCAGCATCCCATATGGTCCCCTGAGCACCACCAGGGGTAATTCCTGAGTGCAGAGCCAGGAATGACCCCTGTGTATTGCCGGGTGTGACCCCAGAAAGCAAAAAATAAAGCAAAAAAACTAATGAATTTTTAAGTGAATCAAAATGAGATACATAGTCACAAAGTTTATGGTTGGGTTTCAGTCATACATGTCATTTTTTATCTTCAGGTTCCAGCTTCCAATCAGGTTAAAATGAACAGGCAACATGAAAATATAAGAATAAGGAGATATACTCAAGCTTTGTATTCTCTTAGACTAGCCGTTTTCATTGCTTTTTTTTTCCCTTTAAAAAACTTGTTTGGCAGTGCCAGTGATCAAACCCATGAAATCACATACGCAAGACAAGTGCTCTTCCACTAAGTTCTATCCCCAGCCCTTAACTAGTTGTTTTCTGAATTAATGTTATACTAGTTGGCACTAATCATACACGTCTACTAATAAATCAGTGATGCTGGTTTTTTTTTCAAAAAGTTTCTCACTTCTTGAGGTATCATTATATATATAATAGTATCACCATTAATGTTTTAGTCATAAGACTTGGAAAACACAGTTCTGTAGGCGGAATCACAGAGTTTTTAGATGAGGACTTCTGACTACACCAAGTGACACATTACCCTTGCCTATTCCTGTTGTTTTGTTTCCACGTGAGATGCTCAGTGTTGCAACCAGTGGTGCCAGGGGAACCATGCAATGTCCAGGGATTGAACCTAGGACTCCAGCATGCAAAGGATGCAATGCACTCCAGCCCTCTGAGCTATCTCCCTGGCCCTCATCTGACCTTTTGAGGTCTCTGAGAGCTATATATTCAGGAACTGATTACACAATAACTATATGCAACTATATCTATGTATTAATCTCTCTGTGAATATCAGATATTATGTATATATACATATAACAGGACTTGACAACATCACAATTATGCAAGGCCTCCTAAATAAAAGATTATGTCGAACAGCATAGACTGTAAGTGATGTAGAACTTCCAAGCAAGTAGTCTTGAGAAACAAGTGATCAGTGTAAAACAGTGATCTGTGAGAATAGGAAACACAGACAGAAAAATAAGATTAGTGCTGGGCTTTAAAAAGAGATAGTTTAGATTAGAAGAGAACAGACATCAAAAGTAAAAATATTTGTAGGTTCATGTCTTCCATGGAGGAAATTGTTTTGGGTCACACCCTGTTGTGCTCAGGGCTTACTCCTGGCTCTGCACTAGGTGATCACTCCTGACAGTGCTCAGAGGACCATGTGGGGTGTGGGAATCAAACCTTGGTAAGCTGCGTGCCAACAAGTGCCCTACCATTGTACTATCTTTCTGCACCTCAAATTTGAAAAGACTGGTCAAATAGTACAAGACCCAGGTTGAATTAATGGCACCAGGCACCACCTAATTCATTAATTTGTTCACTTATAAATCACTAACAAATTAACAGGGTGTTGTTACACTAAAATACAATTAATTAGAGAAGTACACAGTAAAGCTTACTCAAATTTCAGATATTATTAGTAAAGGACTTTTAGAGGAAGTCCTGAAACTGGGGTACATTATAAGGCATCAAAATTATGTTATATTGAAAATCCATGCAAAGTAAACCCTAAAAAGTCTTGATATCAACTTGAAATGTTGGAATTCTACTTATAAGGAAATGAAAATCACAGAAGTATTATAAATAATGAAAATGACATATCTAAAGATGGTTTTCACAACAGTATTTAGAATGAGTTGTGGCAGAAGAGTAAGGAGGGGGCAGATTACAGTAAAATTATAAGGAACAACAGGCTTTAGTATGCATGTATTAAGAAAGCAAAATGCACAAGTGAAAAACCTCCTTATAGTTCCACATCAAGGGAAGTACCTGCAAGCATTATTTCATAGGACTCCAGATCAGGAAATACTATAAAGTCTCTAAAATTCATCGCCATATCTTAAGTTGCACTCCATTATATCAATCAAAGTGTCTGAGAAATCCACTCTTTAACATAGTCCCCAAACTTAGCTCACCTACAATGTATGGGCAGTTGTAAAAACATATATGCATAAATTTTGTTCTCAATCTAAGACATAATAGTCACCTAAACCCTTGTTCCCTTTTTATACAGAATTCTCTAAATTAATACATGTACATAGACATTATTTCTCAGAGAGAAACCAAGTTGATTATTGAAATGAGACTTATTCAGTTCACTGCCTGCTTTAGTCATACAACTGACTGGAACATAATTATGCTTATTAATTTATACATTGTCTCTGGCTGTTTTTCACAGTAACAGGAGAGTTGAGTAACTGGCAGAGATTACATGTGATCTACAATGCCAAAAATATTTAACTCTTTGGTCATTTAAAGAAACAGTTTTCAGGTCCCTGGTGTGAATTAACTGAGTCAAGTCTGAGAAAAAAATTAGTGAAACCTAACAATAAAATCTGTTTTAATCATAATGGAAACTTAGAGAATTTCAAGAATTCCTACAGAAATATTTCCCTCTATTTGGAAGATATTTCTTATTGCCACAATGGTTTGGGGACATTTCAAAGGTTATTACTGAGATTGTAATGAAAAATATTTTTGGATATATGACAAATGTTTTAACATAGACAATTTTTTAAGAATGGACATTTCAATGTTTCTCCAATTTTTCTGCATTCCTTTGATAAATTATTCCTACCTGGGCCACATAAAGAAAAATACCAGTTTTCCCAAATGATTGGTCTATAGTGTGACAACATATTTCTTCTAGTAGTACTGAAACACAAATTAGTTAAATTGTACTGGGCATGGGATTTCCAGTATTCTACTGATAATTTCTAGCAAAACAAATCAAACATAACACTGAAATAAAAACAACAAAACAGTAGAAGGATAAACAACAAAACAGTAGAGTTGAGTGTGAAGTAATTTAACACTTCTGTATTCTACAAATTCTGATAATGATTATATATTATTCCTTTTTATTTTATTTTGGGGGTTACACTTAGTGGTTCTTTGGGCTTCTCACTCTGTGCTCAGAGATCACTATTAGTAGGACTCAGGGGATCATGTGATTTTACCTTACCTCCTCCCCTCTCTCTCTGGCCCTATGTATATTTCTGTAAGTCAACAAAATAGGTCTGTACTTCCTGGGTGAGGACAAGAACCCAATTTTTTTTCCTGGTGGACTTAAGTATCTCTTAATAATGGCTTGGTGAAAACAAAAAGCCTTCCAATGCAGAGAATAAAGTGAAACTTCCCTTTCACGAAGGGCTGCAATCTCACTATGTTGGTGCCCTTAAATAATAACTGTTTCTGGACCAGAGAGATAGTACAGAGGATAATATGATTGCCTTGCACAGGCCCACTTGGGTTTGAACCCAAGTGCTGCATATGATCCCCCAGCCCATCAGGAATGATTCCTGAGCAAACAGAGCCTGCCTCAAAACACCCCTCACTTTCCCAACCACACAAACATCTAATTTCTTTTTACTTTAATTCCAAGTACCTGCTCCAACTCATAGGCCTTTGCCTTATCCTCATCCAGGTCTGCATTCTTCCGGTAGGCCAGGCCCAAACCCCAGACTGCCAAGATGCTGTACACATTATCCCGGACCCAGGCATCTTTCTGCTCAAAGCTGGCTGGAAGCAAACCGGTCACTGGGTTCTACAAGGCCAAAAAAAATAAGGACAGACAGGTAACCACAGGGTGTTAATATTAGGAAACAGAATCAAATGGGTTTCTTAGGGACTTTGGGCTTCTGCTTCCCCACAGCTGACTTTAATTACCTCTTCATTCTGGGGGGCAAGGACAGGAGACCCTGAATAAAGGGCAGGGGTTGGTAGAAGCCTTACAAGAGAGGAATGGCTTGAACTTTCCCTTACTAACAGTAAGGGGGGGGAAATAACTTTAGCTAGAAAAAGTGAACTACCAATGAAAACTGCATAAAAAAGTATGACAAATTTGATTAACGGTCTATAAAGGTACGTTAGATATTCACACCAGCCTATTCTTAATAAGGATAAAGGTTCCCCTACCCCTTTTTTGACTAGAGGGGGAGATGACCAAATGACCAAAGCTGGGATGGATGGGGCGGGGGGGGGGGGGTGGTCAATCAGCAAAACGCAAGAGCTGCAACGCTCTTTCAATTCTGCCCCTAGAACCTAGTTGTGACTTGGGGGAGGGTTGGCGGGATGGGGGGGGGGGGGGCGGTACAGATACATGCTCAGGGCTCTTGGGCTTGTAGCTAACGGTGTCAGACCGGACAGACAGGCTATGCTGCGACAGGCTATGCCTCGTACATTCACTCACACATGCACACAGCTCATCCAGTTACAGGCAGCCCTTAACTTACCTGATGACACAGGATGGTCTGATGCACTAGCCTAGCGTAACCGTCCAGCCGGACCCCAGAATTACTTCGGCTCCTCATCTCGTCCTCGTTTCCAATCCCCTGAAAGAAACTGCTCTGAAACCACAGGGCACTCAGCGCTCCAAAGAAGGAGGCTCCCGCACAGCTCCACCCCCAGTGGCCAGCCCTGGAAGGGCCAACCCAGCTCCGGGCCTGGGGCCGCCGGTGCCCACGTCTGCTCGCGCCCTGGCCTAATGGGGTTCACAGCCCTACGGCTGCACCTCCGCGGCCACTGCCTGCAAGCCTTAAACCAGTCCGGCCCCTGTGGGGGCCAGCTGCATCCTCCGCTCAACTCCGGAAGACAGCCGGGGCCCAGAGGCTCCGGGCGGCCAGAGCCTGCAGGTCATCAGCCGAGGCGCCGCCTCCACCTAGCTGTGGAACCGGAGGCGGGGCGGCGACGCGGGTCCTAGCAGCTGCGCGCTGCGCCGGGGCTGGCTGCGGCCAGCCAAGCCCAACCCGCTGGTGGCCGCCCCCGGGCGTCCCAGAGCGCTCTGGGGCCAAGGATGTGTCACCACAGGCAGTGTGCTCTCAGAGGTTTATTTTCGAAGCACTTCAAATGACTTCTAGTTTTCCACACTAGCTGTGCACCCAGGATGTTCTGGAGGCTTTGGTTCGCTGACCAGACTCGTTTTAGGGATCCACGGAACTTGGGACCTACAAGGAAGACGAGTCTATTAGTGGATCTAAAAGATTGGAGTGTCTGAGTCTTTGCCGTATTTGCATGTGTTTGTCGAAAACTTGAGATTAAACTCCTCACTTCTACTCGGAGCAAACAAAACATTTAAAAATTAAGAATTAAAAAATAACTCCGCAGAAACTAACACTGAGGTGGGAGGCGGGGGAGACAGGCAGTGGATAAATGAGAGCACTCGGGCGGGGAATTGAACTGAAATTGCCGCAGGATAGGCCTGAGGGTGGCCTTGACCTCAAAAGAGTTGGAGAGGATTGTATGCAGAACTGCTTGGGAAGTCCTTCTCCTTGCCAAAGTAGATTACAAGGCTGGAGGCAACAAAAACAAGGCTGAAAACAAAGGAGAGAAAAACAACACTTAACAAAAGAAATGCAAATGACTTGAGGAGGTGGGTTAGGTGAGCTGTGGGGCTAGGGGCTAGGAAGGAACTCAGAATGTTGGTAGAGGAAAACCGAGACTACTGGTGGGATCAGTGCTGGAACATTTTAAGTCTGAAACTCAACTGTGAGTAACTTTGCAAATCATGGTGCTTTAATAAAATAAAGTTTTTTAAACAAGAAAAGAAACTGCAGGAAACTATGATCTAGTGATAAATGAATTCTTTACTAAGAATAAATGACTATTTTAAAAGAAAACATAAAACCATAATAAGGGGAAGAAAACAAGAAGACAGTCACATGAAGTGGACAAGGGTAAGAGAAGGATTTTTGCAGCTACTGGCAGAGGGAAGGTGTCATGGTGTCAAGGGAGTTAGGGACAGAACAGGGATAACCCAGGACTTCTTCCTCCCAATTCCCCTAGGGAGAATTGATCATAGCTCTGTGTGTGTGTTTGTGTGTGTATGTGTGTTTGTGTGTGTGTGTGTGTGTGTGTGTGTGTGAGAGAGAGAGAGAGAGAGAGAGAGAGAGAGAGAGAGACTGCTTTTCCAACCCCAGTCTCTTGATCTCCTCTGATCCAGAATTAGACCTGTTGACCTTTTAGATTTTCCAACTGTGAGGGTTTTGAGCCACCTCATCAAACTTACTCTATCATGAATTTTGTTCCTCTATGCTCTCTCCCTCCTTCTAATCTTCACCTTCATCCCTATTCAAATTAGCTAAAGTCAGGAACTTAGGAGGCCACTAGCAAATATTTGGTAAGGATGATGAAGGGGGAAATAAAGGGAGACTGTCAAGAACCAGTGATCCAGTTGTCTGTTAGAGAAATAGCTTCCATTGCAGTCACGATGAAAAATGCCATAAATGACCAATAACAAACCGTTTCAAAATCAGGTGCACAGGAGCAAAAAAAAAAAATCTTTCTATGGTAAATTGCTTCATTTAGGAGGAAGTATTACTGGGTTATTCCTGTTTTTGGAAAACATAAAAAGTGAAACAAATCACCCCCCCACCCTCTCTCTCTCTTTCTCTCTCTCATATCTAGTTTCTAAAATTTATTTACTAGCCCCAGTTATTTTCTATCCCCCAGTTATTTATAAGTATGAATAGGTTAGGAATGTAACCATCAGGAGCTGGTAACGTATGGCTACTAAGAAGTTTGGCTGGATGGCATTCATTACCTGGTACTTTCAACCTTTTTCCAGACTGGGCCTTGAGTTCTGCAGTCTCAGAAACCTGATCTCCTCAGTGTCCCAGAAGTGACCAGACCCAGGAGGCTGAGTCATGCTGATTATCTCATAAAAAGCTGATATATTAAAAACAGGATGCTGAGTGATAACGGGAGAGTAATCTGTTTATATTGCCCTGATCCTCACTTTCTCTATTTTAGATGATGTTTGAGCTTTACTCCTCACCATGTGTTATTTTGTTTTATACAACAACCCTATGAACTAGATACTATTCTTAACCTATTTTAGAGATGAAGGAAAACACACTTTTCTGCTCTGTTCGTGTTGGCATTAATAATTCTCCCTTTCTATGTTTCTGTAACTCAACAACACTTCACCTTAGCCATGTAAAATTAGCAACCAAGGTATAATCATGTCTTGTAAGACTGAAAGCCATTATGTTTGGTTAATTTAGAGGGAAGAGATTGTTGGGCCACACCCAGTGGTAATCAAGACTTACCTCTGTGCTCATAAAGCACTCCTGTTGGTGCTCAAGGCACCATATGAGGAGCTGGGAACCAAACTGGGGTCAGTTCAGATCAATGCCGTCTCCCTGACCTACCTTTATGTTGGGGTTTTATAATTTATTTCTATTTTTCAATTGTAGGAGGTGGAATAATAATACTTTTAAAAATATAAACTTCAAAACTATATATATGTACATATATATATACACACATACACATATATATAATTGTCCCCCTAACAAATCCCAAGATTAAGATAGTCCCCTAGGCAAGACAGTTTAGGTCTTTTAGGATCATGATGGACAAGCAAAAATGAGGCCAGGAAAGGATAGAATCAATAAATGGGCCAACAAAAATGTACCCCAAAATGAGTGGCATAAAAAATGTTTAGAGTCTTTTTAATATAGAGGACAACAGGCAAATATAAAATAGGAAATGTCTGTGACTTTATAATTTAAGGGTGCTTGCTTTGGCTATTGTGAAATACCCCAGCTTCTACTCTTCATGTATCTATTGAATTTTGATGTGATTACTATTTTTAATGTCTCTGTCAACTTATACAATCGTTTACTTATTGAGAGATAGCGGTGGGCAGCGGGGGAGTGCTATTATATTGAATAAATGCTCAGCCTGTGATCTCACTTAGAGGTCCCAAGTTTGACACCCCTAAAATTTGGGGCAGTCCTTGTATGTTTGTCTCCTTCTGTGTCTGTTTGTCTCTTTTTCTGCCGCAGACCCCCACTAGGCAAGATCAAAGGTGTCAGTCCCAATGACTTTAAACATGCCTAACACAAAGGTCCTAGTGTCATCTTACAATAAAAATGACCCCTCTATCCACTCTTCCACCCCTACTTTCCAGTGCCTCTGATGACAATCATGGATTTCATCAAATCTAATATGTATTTTTTTGTGTTAGGCAGATTTGATTTATTTTGGTTATTTACATTCCACATATGAGTGAGACCATCTGGTAATTGTCTTTCAGTTCCTTACTTTAAGCTCCTTCCATTTTATAGCACAGTTTTTTCTTTTTAATGAAGGCTGCATTCCACTGAAAATAGAATAAATAAATAAATAAATAATATTTAGTTTGATAACATTTTTTGTCTATGAACAGATGGTACAATATCTTTTTACATAATTATTTCCTTGTCTTTCAAATAAATGCCTAGGAATACTATTATGTGCCATAAAATATTTTTATTTTAAGAAAAATTAATGTTTTGATTTTCTTATGTTTTCATTTCTTTACAACAGTGTAACTATATAAGTGTGATCAAGACAACTTTACATATCACACCACCAACAAAGTGTGGATATCTTTTTTTTTCTCGGCTAGAAGCTATTTATTGCTAATGAAAAGAAAGTTTTCACTTCAGAGTGACTACAGTAAGATTTCATTGTATTAATTTTATCATCTACCATGATTGATCATAGAACTACAGCATTGTCAAAACATCAGTTAGCAAAATAGCTCAACATTTTTGACTATTGACATAATGCAAAATTGAACAAGACCAAAACAGATGCCAGAGGTGACAGGCTCCTTGTGAAGAGCCCTTTTTTTTAATTTAGGCAAGAAGAAGAGTGATTAATATCTCGTTTTAATTGTACTCAGAAAAATGATAAAAGACAATATAAAATAAATCTATCAGGAATTCACTAAGGGTGAATGCACAGGGTCCTCACAAAATCGTTGGAAAGAGAGCAGCAGGTTGACTTGTCAGAGCACTCCTCATTTCTGTGTTTCAATCCAAATTGTTGGTTCAGCTCTCAAACCAGCTGAACCAAAACAAAATGAACCATCGGATTAGTCACAATAGTCAAGATATGAAAATAACCTAAATGTTTCTCAAAGTGTGGATATCTTAAGGTTCTCATTCCTCATGTATTCCCACTTTGGGAGTTTTGGGGGGATTTTGTTTGTTTGTTTTGGGACCACACCTGATGATGCTCAAAGATGACTCCTGAATTTGCACTCAGAAATTATTCCTCAGAACCATATAGGATGCCTGGAATGAACCCAGCTGGGCCACATGCAAGGCAAATGCTCTACCTGCTGTACTATCTCTCTATCCCCTGTATTCCCACATTCGTTATCAGAATCTAAGGGTTTGCTGTCGCTGTACATTGTATAGTTTCTTTATTTCTTTATATACTACATAGGAATGAACATTTGACTTTCTCCTCACTTATTTTGTTTATCCTGATAATCAGTGATGTTGAACATTTTTTTCTATGCCTGTTGGCCAATGTAGCTCTTTTAAGGACAAACATCTGTTTGTTTTCTCTTCCCATTTTTTGGTGAGTTGTGTTTTTTTGTTGTTGTTAAGTTTTGTGAGTGCTTTATATATATTTTTATATTATCA